TATGGGAAGGCTTCCTGTGGCTATCAGTACAACTTGGTGGACTGGGCGCGTTGCTGTCGGCACAAAGAAATACCACTCGTGACCTTCCTGTCCGCGACACGGTCAAGGGCCCCCCCGAGGCCCTTCTTGTCTGGCGAGGAGCAGGCCGAGCCTGAATGGCAGCAGGTCGACAAGGATGGCGAGGCTCGTCGCAAGGGGCTCGATCGTGAGGCTGCGTCAGCAAAAGGGTGCCGAAGGGGAGAAGGGCGCGCCCGACACTGGCCTTTGGGCTGGGAAGGGCACCAGGAACCGACAGAAAAGGCTGAGGTGGTGAGGTTTCGGTTCGGGCAGCCAACGAGTTTAGCAATTCACCCTCGCGGGGTTCGATGACAACCATTCGCTAGTTCAGGCGGCCAAGGCGCAGATTCCAGCCAATACAGGTCACGAGAAGGAGGAGGAGGGTTCCCCATGGTCGCGGGCACGGTCCAATCAGGACAAACCAGCACATTACCAGGCGCAGTTGGAAAGTTCCAAGGCGACGGGCACGACGATCAAGCATACTATTGCCAAGCTGGAGCAGGACCTCGTATCGTGGTCGGTTCCCAGGAGCAGTATCAGAAGTCGGTGCAGCTTGAAAAGATGGAGCATCAGAAGCTGCATCGCCGTGCCTGATAGCAGCCCTTTGCGGCGGATGGCAAGTCGGCGGTCACAGGGCTGGTGGGGGCGCTGTTCGGTCGAGTTCCGCCAAGCGCAGCAGGAGCAGCTCAACGTTGTGACGGGCCCCTTGGGCGATCTCCCCGCCGCTGGCGTGCAGCACATGCGCGAGCTTGAGGAGGCAAAGGGCAGAGGCGGAGGACGCCGTCCACCGCGCGGCGGCGGCCGTCCTGGCTGGCTCGTCCATGGGCACTGGTGCGGGGGTCAAGGTGGAGGAGCAGTCCAGGTTTGCGGAAGAATGTCGTGACGGCCTTCGAGAGATCTTGGAAGCGAGCCAGCAGTTGAACCCCAAGTACGCTGCCTTTTTCATGCGGATGTCATCCTTCCTGGACACCCCCATGGCTCTCTCCAAGAAGGCCCGCGTGCAGGCCCCGTGCACTGGCGCTGGTGATGCTGATGATGCTGGCGCTCCTGGGGCGTCTCGGCTGCCTGGATAGCACCGTGAGTTGATCGGGTGCGGCTGCCTTGGCTATAGCTTCGACGTTGCCAGGTGGTGTGGCTACGTTTTTGGCGTCGTCTCGCACTTCGGCCTTGGCGCCTTCTACGGAGTTGTCGGGAGGCTCAGCCGCGGCTATTTTGTCGGGCCCATCGTCTGCGTGGGTGGTCGAGGCTACACCTTCGGGGTTGTCTCGGGGATGGGCTGCGTCGTCGGCATTGTCTGGCGGTTTGGCCGTGGCTGCTTCTGCGGCATCGTGGGGAGTTCCCGCCGCGGCTACGTTTTCAGCGCGGGCCTCTTCCATAGCAGTGTCTTCGGCAGGCCCCAGGAAGTGGCGGCAGCGGCCTCGCCAAGACATCTGGGCGTTCTGCCCCTCCAACGTGACGTCGCGGGGCGTTGACTGCGGCAGGGGCTCCAGGCCCTTGCGCAGGACCTCGTGGGCGTAGTTGGGTCTGATTTGTTTTCTTTCAAGAGCGTCGCCGGGCTGCTGACCGGCGGGGCGATGTAGAGCACGCGCGCGCCAGCGCATTCTTCAATTCACTGCTGGCCCTTGCGGCCCCATCGGTTCGACCGGAAGCCTGCGCGCCTGGCGGGGTCGGCATGGCGACGTGCAAGCCCTGGGGCTTCAAGGGCCCTATATCGTCTCCTACCTGGCATCGCGACCCCCCCGCCGAATCGGTTCTCGCCGGGGCTTTGGAGCGGGCTCGGCACTGGGGGGGCGGCAGCGCGCAGCGTTTACCTCTTTTCGGGCATTGGTTGCAGAGGCCTAGGCCTGGAGCTTCTGAACCAGATGGGCGAGGTCCAGGGCGTACGGGGCGCCTTTTATCTCGGGGGGCGGTTCCCAGTTTCTTGGGGGGCAGCGCTTTGGATATGGGTGGCTTGGAGGGCTCAGGCCGACGTGCATTTTCTGACGCCGTCACCTGGGCCCGCCAGCAAGGGACTCACCGATCGCCAATCGACTGTGTCATTATCTCTGGCACGCTGAAGCCTTTCGGCGAGAGTAGCTACGCGGCGACTTGGGCGACCTGCGCGCGGCCGCATCGGCTTGGCGCCCCGCGTTTGCCTGGCTCGCCCAGGAACGCGATGGCACCCGGCCTCAAGGAACCATCTGCGCCGCCTGTGCACCGTCCTATCGGCTGCGACCCGAGGCCTCTGGAGTAAGATGATTTGCTCAGGGAGTTTGAAGGACTTCAGATTTCCAGGGGGCAATTGGATACCGCCGCGTCTCGATGGGTCGAGCCGAGTTCTCTGTCGCTCGAGCTCTTCATTTTAAGACGAGATTTGGTGCCGAGGTCGACGCCCCCCCCGGCCCTCGCGGGCAGTCCAGGCCCCGTCGCTTGGCCCTCCAGCCCCCTCGCACTCCGAGGACATCGGGGAGGGCAGGACGCGGGGGATCTTGGAGAAGCGAGACCTCGCGCATCTCTGACACTGGCCCGGGCCCATCCCGGGGGGGCGCAGCGGGCCGGGGGCCTTCTCAGGAAGTTGGTGAACGACCAGTCCCCGTTACTCGGGATCTCGTCGATCAAACTGGCATCGAAGGCAGACGTGAGTGACGTCATTTGGTAGGTCCGCAAGCGGGTTTCGGAGCGCGAGACCCACGCGGCCTCTGAGCGGGCTAGGGCGTGGAGAGGGCGGGCCTCGGGCGCGCTGGTTGCCTAAGCTCGTCTTGGCCGCGGGTTCGCCTTGGAGGCTCCCAAGCGGGATGTCTCCGGGCTTTTCCCCGGTGCGGGACCTGGCGGCGCCCCCCTCGGCATCCCGTTTGGAGCCGAGGCTTGAGCCCAAGGTTGGCATGATCATTTGGGTGTCGGTCTTGAGTTTCCTAGGCCTGGTTTCAGCCGGTGCGACTGCGAGCCTGATCTGGCGTCCCCGACCCCAGGTGAGCTCCTCTCCATTTCGCGCGCGTACTGCTCGCGCGCGGACGTTGGCATGAGCGGGCGGCACCTTCGCAGGGGCCCCCGAGGCCCCTCCTGCCCCCGCCGCCCCTGGGCTCTGACTGGCCCCCAGGCACCGAGGGCCCCCCTCAAGTGCTTGTTGGCGGGAGGGTTCTGGCCCCCGACGCGTTTGTGCGAGGCTGGAGGGGCCGTCTCGCATGGCTGTTGAGGACGCCAATGTGATGGCACGTGTTGGCGCCTTTTGCACGATTGCCCGCCCAACGTCAGCTTTCGGCGGGAGTATGCGGCACAATGCCAAGGGGCTGATCGCATGCTGGAGCTTGCTCACAGCGCGGTGGGCCAGTCTGTAATTTGGACGAGGCCCCTCGTTCCCGATCCGTCGTCGCTTTTCCCCAGCCCGCGCTTGGAGGAGAGATTCGTCTGAGCGCTGCGTTCGGAAGACCTTCTTCTGGACATGCATGTGCTCGGGGAAGGCCCGGGTCTGCGCGGGCGGCGCAGTTGCCCGCGCCTTGGCGGGTGGGGCGCGCGCTCTCTTGACTCGGAGTGGCGCGAAGACGCCGGGATGCACGGGCCTGTTCCCGCCGTGTTTTAGACGGCGCCCGCGGCGGAGCCGTTCGCCTCCGCGGCGGCGCTTCGCAGCGCGGGGGGCGCAGCTGGAGTTTTTTTTCCGCGCGGGCTGCGAGCCTCCGGCCGACGCTCGGCGCATGGGGGGGCCGGCGATGGCAGCGCGGCCGGCGTTCGTGTGGCCGCGCTTGGGAGGGGGGCGCGGAGCCTGGCGCTGGCTCGGGGGGGGGGGGCGGTGGAAGTCTCGCGCGCGAAGGCTCGCCCGCCTGCGTCGGCCGCGGAAGGGCAACGCAATCGCTGCGCGGCCGCGCTCGGCAGCGCGCGGGCCGACGAGGCTGCGCAGGGTTCGGCGCGGACCCGCCCTGGCGATCGCACCTTGCGCGAGGTTCCTCGAGTTTCGCGTTCGGCCATCAAGATGGCGGCCCAGTTTTGCGCGCGAGTTGCTGCCCGCAGCAGGCCCCTGGGGATATGCCCAGCCGCTTGCTCTGGGCGGCGTAATTGTCGCGATCGCCAGTGGGCTGGGCCCTCACAGGCTGCACTCGCGACATGTCCTGCGACTTCCTTCCCCGATCGATGCTATCGTTGCATGGTCTGCCTGCGATCGGCGCAGAATCGAGCGAACCTCCGCCAGCTCAAGGGCCCCGAGCATGCTGGCCAGCATTCGCTCCGCCGTGCTGGGCCCGTTTTGTTTTGCTTCTTGCGCGGCGCTTTTATGCGCTCCAGCGCGCGCCAGCACGTTCGGGATCTGGCCGGGGAGTGCAGGCAGGCAAAGAAAGGAGCGGGCACCCTAGACAGGGGCCCACGCCGCTATGACATCTTGCTGTATGACAGATTGCTGAAGCTCCTGAGAGGATGCCGCCCAAGACTGGAGCATTCCTGGGACCGTCTGTGCTTTTGGGCACGCGGAGGTTTCGAGGGACGGCACAGTTGCCGCCGATTCCTCCTTTTTCTTTCCCTGTGGATGCTGGAATGGGGAGTGGGCTGGAGTTGGGGGGGACGGGGCAAGAGTCGCTTCAATCTCTTGCGTCCCAGGTCGAGGTCCTTTGGGACCAGTTCCTAGGATTTCCCGAGGCCAGCGATTCGGAGGACGGCGACCTGCCCCGCGAATTGCGGAAGCGGATTGAGTAGCCCTTCTCGCTGGCGGAGTGTTTAGCCTTCAGGTCATCACGCTTGCGGGTGGTCCTATGTCAAGTCAAAACTCCTCCTCCCCGCCCTCCTCTCCCCCCTCCCTCCTCCTCCTTCTCCTCCTCCTCCTCCTCCTCCCCCCTTCCCCTTCCTCCTCCCCCTTTTCCTCCTCCTTTCCCTGATCATCATGCTTCTCCTCCCCTCCTCCCCTCCCCTCCCTCCCCCGGTCCCTCCCTCCCTCCCGGGTCTTCAGGCTCCGAGGGCCCAGCCCGGGGGCCGCCCGCCCACAGGAAGGCAGAAGACGACGCGAGGCGGGAGAGAGAGGCCGAGGCGCGGGCCGCGTCTTGTAGATTCCAAGGCATTTGGACGCCCGAAGTGGGTACGAAAAAATGGGTACACTGCCCAACAACAGATGTTGTCCCAAACCAACAGCGGCCGCTGTTGGGCAGGCGGCCTTCTTTTTCAGATAGACACAGGCCGCGGCGGCGTGGGCAGCGGTTCCTGTTCAAAATGAACCAGAGTTGCTGTTGGGCATTGTACCCATTCTTTCCGTACCCATGTCGGTCGTCCCAAATGCAGTCGCGCGTTTTTTTTGTTTCTTGGGGGTGGGGGCGTTTGGCGATCGCTCTTTCTCCTTCCTGCTCCTTCCCGTGCTCCTCCACCTCATCGCCTCCTGCTCCTCCAGGCAACTCGATGGGCGGCTGGGGTAGCGCTCGGAATTCGTCAAAGACGTGGTGGTATCCGAAACCTACCCCCGCTCCCCATCTTTTTAGGAGATGGTTGGTGGCGGTAGGGGCCGAATGTCACCACCTAGTCGTCGCCTCCTCCTCCTACTCCTACTCCTCCCCCGCCTCCTCGTCCTCCTCCTCCTCCTCTTCCTCCTCCTCCTCATCATCATCATCATCATCACCATCATCATCATCATCATCATCATCATCATCATCATCATCATCATCATCGTAATCATCATCATCATCATCATCATCATCATCATCATCATCATCATCATCATCATCATCATCATCATCATCATCAACAACAGCATCATCAGCATCATCATCATCATCATCATGATCGTCGTCGTCGTCGTCGTCGTCAGCATCGCCTCCTCCTTCACCACGGTCAGGTTACGGCCGAGAATGTCTGGCCAGCGTGTCGTGCCACCGTTTCTGACCCACCACGCCTCGCCGCGACACGCTGCCCACCTCCTGGCCCCCCGGGGCGTCCACGTCTCGAGTGCTTCCCCCACCTCCCGCCCCGCGGAGCGGCGCGACGCGCCAGCTGCCTGCAAGGCCCAGGCGTCTTCTGCCTGGGCCGCCGCCGCCGCCACGCGAGCAGCGACAGCTCCCCTGACCTTCCAGAGCGCTATTTTTTAGCACGGGAGGCCCAAGAACCCCAAAACAACGAGACGAAACAGCCTAACACCAAGACGCAGAACAGCTCTGGGATAGGTTTTTGAGTCGCGTGCTATTTTTTAGCCCTCCTGGAAGGTCAGGGTCCTGACCGCGGGGGGCCGCCTGGCTGCCTTGCGGGATGGCACCCCTGCGCCCTCCTTCCCGGAGCGGTGCTTCCATACTTCCTTGTTCTGGGCTCGGACTGCGAAGCCATTTTGCCGCGGGTGTGTTCCTGCCTCCGCACATGCTGTCACGGCACACGCCGAGATATTCCAGTATTGGGCACAAGAGCCAACCTAATGCGACAGCACGATTAAGATATGCTCGAGGGGTCGCAGCGTCCCATTCGGACGCGGGTGATCAGACAGGTATTCCCAGTCCGTCGTCGTCGCCGCAATCGAGGCCGCCAGGCCGCAGCCGGCGACCGGGACGAGAAAGAAGTAGTTGGTTGAGTCGTCGCTGCCCGACTTTTTTCAAGGGAGGAAAAACCACCTGGGCCGGGCAATTGGTGTTTGTTAAACGGCCCTGGGCGTTTTTTGAACAGCCTTGCCCTGCTTGACTCTTTGGGTGCGTCTACTACATGGCTTCGCGTGTCGGGGTGGTTCTCATCGGGGTGGATCTTCTGCCCTCTGCCTCAGGCCGCCGCGGCGGCCACCTTCCCTCTCTGGCGCCGGCCTGGTGATCCACCTGGGCGCTCGCTCGCTCGCTCGCTCCTCCCTCGTTCCTGTTGCCGTGTGCCTCTGCTCGCGCGAGGGCTTTTTGTTCGCGTGGGGGCCGTCCGTCCGGACCTGGCCTGCGCAGCCAGCACGCGCGCGCGATGTGCTCGGTCCTTCGCCTCGCTCCCGTGTCTCCGCCTCGGGGTGCCGGCACCTGAGGCCCTGACGTGCTCCTGGCGATCGCGAGATTTCAGATGCAACTCCTGGGAGGTCAAATTCTGTTTTCGCCCTGGTCCGAAATTCGGTTTAATCCAGCTAAATCCCGCTTAATCCCGCTTAATCCCGTTTAATCCAGCTTAATCCCGCTTAATCCGAGGCCCATTCCGGCGTAACAGCTCCCAAATGGGGCTTAATCCTCCTTAATCTTTCCGACGAAAACCTCCCAGCAGTTGCCTCCTAACGAGATTGCTGTGGCGCCTCGACCAGACAAGGTGCAGAAGAGGATGGGTGCAGAGGTGGTCCAAGACGCGAGGCGCTCGTCGCTCGTCGGGGGAGGACCTCGCCCCGTGGACACGCTCGCTCGTCTTGCCCAGAGTCTTTGCTCAACAAGTGTGCGGAGCTGGTTGTCGCGGAAGACGAATTCATGAGTGCAGCACTGCGGCACTGCGTCTTTCCAAGAGCAAATTGTTCTTCCCACATATATTGATACGAGAATCCGCCGGGCTCACGATTGAGGGTGACCATCGCCGTCGGCGATTGGGCAAGGGCCTGGCGGAACATTCAATGATTCCGCGGACTCGTGGCGGCCAGGCTTCGTCAAGGCGCATATTTGGGATCTTCGTGTTGCCCTCGTGATCGAGAGAGAGGCAGGCAATATAAGCTGTTTTCGAGGGGTCTGCGCCATCACAGCAGGCCCAACGAGTAGTACCGCTGGCACGGAAGCTCTCGCCAGTTGGAGCGGAGGCACAGCTCCAGGCTCAAGTCGGGCATGCCCTCCCTACAGGAGGCAGATTCAAAGGTAGTACAAAAATCGTCTGGAGACGATTTGTCTACTACTCTTGATTACTTTTGAAATCACCCGTAGGATTACTTGAGGACTTGGTTCCCTTTTGTCTGTTTTTTTTTGCGGTTTTTCGATGTTGCCATTTTCCCTTCAAGATCCGCCTGCAGGAGGGCATGCCCGACCGAACTCCAGGCGCATCTGCACGGAGGCCGGAAAGGGGGCCCCTCCCTGACCTTCCAGGAGGGCTAAAAACTAGCACCCGACGTAAAAACCTATCCCAAAGCTATTCTACGTATTGGTTTTAGGCTGTTTCGCTGAGTTTTTAGGTTTTTAGGCCTCCAGTGCTAAAAATAGCTCTCTGGAAGGTCAGGGCTGTCTACCAGGCCGGGGCCGCGCGCCCCCGCTCTCCGGGAGCGAGAGGACGCGAGAGGGGGTTCGAGGCGCGCGCGGGAGCCGAGGCAGGCCTCCTCCGACCCGTCGGCCCGAGGGCCCTCCTTGGAGGAACAGGCACGTCCCCTGGCCTTCAATCGGGCCGGGCGAAAGGGGGGGATTGGGAAAGGGGGGGTTACGAAATTTGCTGCATGCAGCTGGTTTCGGCCTCGCCGAGGGGCCCATTCCTCGATACAGGGCCGCTTCCAGCGCCGGGAGGCGCCGGGGAAATCAGCTACGTGAGCTGATTCTCAACCCCAGCCTTTGCTATCCCCCCCTTTCGCCCGACCCGATTCAAGGAGGGCTAAAAAATAGCACCAGACTCAAAAAACACATATCCTAAAGCTATTCATTCTACGTCTTGGCTTTAGGATGTTTCGCTCCGTTTTTTCGGTTCTTAGGCCTGCAGTGCTAACAAACTGGCTCTCTGGAGGGTCAGGGTCGGCTCGCGAGGTGCGCGGTCCAGAAGAATCGGGCATGGCCAGGACCCCAGGTGAGGGGACCCGGTTGGTAGTAGGGCCCCAGAGCCCCTGAACCGGCCAGGATCACGAAACCAGGTCTGCCGCAGCTGGTGCTGTTTCGGGTGACGGCACTTCCGGTTAGTGGCATGGGATGGGGGGGCGTCCCCAGTACAGATCACGAAACCAGGTCCCATTAGACCCAGTTCTGCCAACGCCCGAAAGAAGTCTCGTGGGTGAATGCGTGGGGATCAGGACGTAGACCTTCTGAAAATCGCCCGTGCCTCGCCAGCGGCGGCGGCGGCTTGCCCCATGACTGCGTGAAGCTTGCGGCGTCGCTCCAGAGAGTGCTGGCGTGATCGGGGGCTTTCTCCAGGCCCCTGAGCAGTCCGATGGCGGTTGCGTCTGGCCGCTCGGGGGAAGCGGCTGCACTGATTGTTGCCCGCTCGCTGTCTCTGTCCCAGACGGCAGTCGCACCTGAACGAAGGATTGCAAAAAAACCCAGGATTGTAAAAAAACCCTGGATTGCAAAAAAACCCTGGTTTTTTTGCAATCCCTGGTTTTTTTGCAATCCTTCGTCCAGGGTTTTTTTTGCAAGCCTCCTGGCATGCAGGCCACGCTCGCGTGGACGTCACGGCCAACCCGGCGGGGCTGGGGCCGGAGCGCCAGCGAGGCGCAGGCTGCGGGCGGCATCGGAGGCGCGCCCAGGGTCGGTTCTTGGGAGCTGGGGGTCTTGCGTCCGCAGACGGCCGTACTTCGGGGGTGGACAGAACCCCCAACAGTGACACGTCGATTAGTGAATTGTCCGTTTTCGGTTCTCGAGAGGGCGCCGCGGCCGTTATTTTCCAGGCTTGCGCCCGCCAGGTTTGGGCCTCAGGTCGTTTTCACTAAACCACGTTTTACTAAAGGGAGGTCTGTCCATCCCCGAGTACTCCGCGAGCACCGGCTCCTCACTGTGTGCGCGCGTTGTGTGGTTGATATTGCGGGTGGAGCAGCGGCGCGGAAAGAGCAGCTGTGACTGCCGAGTTCGCGGAGGCGGCGCCCCCCACCATCCCGCTGCCGCGCACTCCCCTGTGCTGGCCGGGGTCGTGGGAGCCCTCCCCTCCCCCCCTAATTCGGTGCAGGTGGGGCACGGCGCCTCGGCGCCATGGGCGCGGCTTCCTGCTGCGTCACGCTCGGTCAGCGCGTGCCGGACAAAAATAAAACTGTGACTGCCGAGCGGGCCCTCCTGGCATGAGGGGGCGTCGGTGCATAACAGGTGCGAGTATGCCTATGCCGATGTGTGCTCACTTCGCCCTGCAGTGCCGTCGTGCTCTCTTGCACAGCAGCCCTTCTGGCTGGAAGTCATTCACCTTCAGCGGTTCGGGCGTGGCTGCAGAGCGGTGCCAGCCTGTGGACGGCAGTCGGGTAACACCCATCGCCAGGTCGGCCAGCTCTGCGATCGCACGGGCTGCGTGCCGCGTGGGAAGACCACGGAAGGCAGGCACAGGCAAGGACCGACAAGCATTTGTTTGATGATCCGACCGCGGATAGTTTCATGATGTTCCAACCTACTCTCTAGCCTTGACCGCCAGAAAGAATTTCGAACACCTGAAACATGTACCGAAACTCGAGGGTTTCCGCGTGTCGGGCCCGGGGAGACACTGTTTCGACACTGCTTCGACACTCTTTCGACACTTTCCCGGGTGCTCGAAATTCTGGGATGTGGCCTTTAAGTACGATGGGAGCAAACTAGTGCTATCTGATGGAGTGGTATATCAGGCTACGTCAGGTCATGGTACATAGTAATGGCATGCTAGGTTGCGGCGTTCGATGATTTGCTCCGCTAATGCTCAGACTATGCGGCGGTAACACACCAGTGATGGGAATGTGACTCCATTGATTACTCCGCAACGTGATGATACGGTGGGCGGTGCTTTGCCGTGACTCTGCAATGACTGTAGGCAGGTGGGTGGGAACGAAGCTCGCCCAACCAGGAACTCGGTTTCGGCTTCGGTTCGTGTCGTGCGTGCGTGCGGGCGAGGGGAAGCTGCATGGGATATAATGCGCGGGCCAAGGCCAGGGCCAGCTCTTACAACAGATGTTTGCTGCGGTCCCGCGGTGCGTGCCTCGGCGCGGTTGTCCCGCGATTGTCCCGTGGTAATTTTCGTGGTTGTCCAACAGTTTTGTTCCGTGGGTTGCGGTTGATCCCCTTCGGTTGCCCCTCTTAAGAGCAGCGTGAGGGCCTCTTGGGGCCTCTTGGGACCTTTGGGCTATCTTGAGCCGTCTTGGGCGCCTCTTGGGTCGTCTTGGGGCCCTCTTGGGCCGTCTTGGGGCCGTTTTGGGGCCCTCTTGGAGGCCTCTGGGGCCGTCTTCGGGCCATATTGAAGGCCTCGTGGGCCGTCGTAGAGCGTCGGAAAAAAAGGAGAAGGCGAAAGCGCCAACGTATTCTAAACGCCGAAGGAAAATTATTGACTTGCGCCTCTTGGGGCCCTCTCGGCAGGCCGCTTGGAGGCTTCTTTGGACGTCTTGGATGCCTTTGGGGTCGTCTTAGGGCCATCTTGAGCGCCGTAGACCGATCGTTCGGCGACTCGGGGCCGTCTTTGGAGTCTCTTGGGGCCCTCTGGGCCCATCTTGGGATTCTCTTGGGCCCGAAAAGGCACGCGAGAAGACGCGGCAAGCTCCTGACGACACGAGACAAACCAAGAGAGATTTGAGAGTTTGGGGTCCGGGCCCCCGAAGGATTCCTTTGGATGGGGCGAAGAGTGAGGCGTAGAGGACTGGGCCGAGGACGTAAGGGCACGCCCACTCTGTGCCCAGAGGCACGGTGGCGGACTGGCAAACCCACAGCTGCCCCATCACCTCCAACATTCTTATCATCCAGGGGGGGGTCTCGACGGTCTTCCTCGGAGGGTCTCGTTAGGTTGTGGCATGTCGGCTTGCTCATGCCGACGCCATGATGCGGCAGGCTGGGCTATACCGTCTAGGTTGTGCGGTGTTGCTATGGTGTGATGGTATGCCGTGCTGATGCTACGATATTGGTCGACCATGCTATGCTACGCAATGCTATGCTATGCGATGCTACGCTACTCAATTGAGTTCATGCGGTGCTCGGCGATGTTGAGCAAGTATGGCACGAGACAGTACATTATTCGCGGTGCCATGCGATGTGTCTCTGTGCTGTGCCATGAATCGTTGGGCGTGGCACTCACTACGTTGCACACCCTGGCATTGCACTGCGCACGGATGGTGTCCGCACCAGGTACCCTTAGTTTGGGTCCCGCGTGGTTCATATTGGACTGGCCCTCGCGCGCCTGAGTGCGCGAGCAGCAGCTTGTTCGAACATGTGTGTGTGTGCGTGTGTGTGTGTGTGTGTGTGTGTGTGTGTGTGTGTGTGTGTTCGCCCCTGGGCTAACGCGGTAGCATGAAACAGGCGGACGTCGCACATTATGTGTTCACTCATTGGGTATATAGTGTGACTGTGCCGCGCGAGTTCGTCATTTTCCCGCTGCCGCTCTGAAACCTCATCCTTTTCTCCCTCCTCCCTTCTCAGCTGTCGAGGCCCTTGCGGAAATGAGGCGCAAGAAAGAGCAGAAGGAGGCGGAGAAGAAGGCGGCCTTGCTCAAAGAGGAAGCCGACAAACGGAGGGAGATGAAGCTGCGCCAGATGGTCGAGAGGAGGGAAGAGGACCCTCTGGAACTCCCCTAGCGACACATCGTTGTTTTTGTTGTTGTCCCCGTCCTTTTGCTTTCTGTCCCTTCTCCCTTGCCCCCCCCATCCCCCACCCCCTTCTGCTTCTTCTCCCTTTTCCTATTGCTTCTCCGACCCCCCTCGTGGAGCAGTGGCGCACGAACCTCATAACGTGCCATCGTGTCCGCGCCCAAGATTTTTGTCCAGTCCTCCTGTGCATGGCTCTCGCCTTGCACAAACCACTGTAGCTCCTCAACTCTCCTTATCCCCTGCCTCCTCCCTCCTCCTCTTCCTCCTCCTTCTCCTTCTCCTCCTCCTTCTCCTCCTCCTCCTCCTCCTCCTCCTCCTCCTCATCCTCCAATTCATCCCTTTCCTTACACAGAACTCCTCCCTGTTGCTCCCCGAGGCGTGTCCGTAGGGCGGCCGTGCGTTGCGCCTGGCACTGCCCGACCACCTCGGATCCTGGAGCTTAAGATTTGCTCCAGGTTCACGGATGGGGGGCGGGTGGTTGTCAACATGTGGATCTCGCCTGAGCGCCGCGCAGATTCGTTTCAAAAGTTTGCAAGCTTTGCACGGATGGAGGGCGGCCCCCTTTCCAACGTGTGAGTTTCGCCTCAGCGCCGCGCACAGTAGGTCTCGAACGGTGGACGTCCCAGAAATGGTCTGCTGGCAAGATTTAGGACTTTCAGGGCGCCGCAATCACATTGATTCGATGTTCTGAAGTCCCAGGAGAATTGTTCCGGCACGATTCGGGGACATCAAGGCGCGGCATTAACGTTGATTCGCGGCGTTAGGGACCCCGGAATAGTGTTTTGACACGGTCGGGGATTATCAGAGCGTTATCTTGCAACGGGCAATGGGGCATTGCCCGCAGTGGAAACCAATCCGCGTAGGGACTCGCGAAGGGGGAACATTTGGAGGGAGGGTTCATTGCAATGTCGTTGGTGCGTCTTGGTTTTACACTGGTCCTCCTCCTCCTCCTCCTCCTCCTCCTCCTCCTCCTCCTCCTCCTCCTCCTCTCTCGCCCCTCCCCGCATCTCTTATACTTGTATTCGGGGGCGGCAAAGAAGGGGGTGATGACTAGGGGGGTGTGGACCTCATGGCGTGGGCCATGATATTTTCGCAGATTTCATGGCGCCTCTTCTCGTTTGATTACGTCCCCAGCCCCCCCTGGGGCCGCGCACATGCCGCCGGCCATGATTTGCGCCCCCCCCTCTTGGACGCCCCCCTCTTGGCCGCCCCCGACTTCTGCTCCTCGCCGTGTCCTTCTTCCCTGTCGCTGTCTTTGCACCCTCACCCTCCTTGGGGTGCTGCCGAGTGCAGCCTTCCACCACTTTGCTGCGCCCCTGGCGGGTCCATCGTCGAGGTGGGGCCCCTCGCGCACCCAAAGAAGTGGACCTCTCGCCCATCACACCGGGCACCGTCAAAAATGTGCAGTGCAACCGGCGCCACTTTGATGCGCCAGCCTGGGCGGTGCTGCGGAAGGGCGTCCTGCGGACATACGCACTGTTCGTTTCTAATTCTTCGAACGTTCTTTGATTTTTTGGCGGGGGCCAAGAGCCTTTCGTTTCTAATTGTTCTATCCTGGGTCTCTTCCTGGCCTAGGGGAAGAAGAACAATTAGAAAAGAGCACAATTAGACATGAACACGATTAAAAGTGAGCAACATGTACAGACGGGGCCCGCCCATTTCCTGGGTGTTGTCAGGTGTGCAATGGTCGACATGTTGCTCCACACTGGGGCAGTCCAGCGGAGCTGCGTTCTTTCGCCCGCCCCTGGCTGCTGACAGGCGTGCCGCTGTGACCGCTTTGCTGTGCCCGCTGGGGGTCCGGCGGAGCTACGCCCTCCGAAGTTCCAAACAGGATCTTGCCTGCTCTTGGGTGCTGCCAGGCCCTCTCGTATCGCAATTACGTTGCGCCCATGCCCGGACTTGATGTGCTAAGGCACTCAGCCTGTGCACCCTGTCGTACGGACCCGAGGCCAGACGGGGGACGTTCTCGCATCCATACGTGGCGCCGGCCGCGCGGGCCAGCTGAGGGCCCGCCTGCGAAGCCATGCTGCCGCGGGTGTCTTCCTGCCTCCGCACGTGCTGTCACGGCACATGCCGAGATATTCCAGTATTTCACCACCCACCAAACCACCCCAACCCAACCCGAAGGCTCAGACTTACCCTCGATTTCCAGTGGGGGGGGTCGTGAACCATCGAAAAAACACACGTGGAACCCTTACCCCCCCCAACCCGAAATTCGGGTCTTCGGGTTGGGTTGGGGTGGTCTGGTAGGTATTCAGTATCGGGCACAAGAGCCAAGCACGATTAAGATATGCTCACGGGGTCGCAGCGTCCCACTCGGACGCGGGTGATCAGACAGGTATTCCCGGTCCGTCGTCGTCGCCGCAGTCGAGGCCGCCAGGCCGCAGCCGGCGACCGGGACGAGGAAGAGGTAGCTGGTTGAATCGTCGTTGCCCGACTTTTTTCAAGGGAGGAATAACCACCCAGACTGGACAATTGGCGTTTACGAAACGACCCTGGGCGTTTACTAAACAGGCCTGCCTTGCTCCATTCCCTCTTTGGGCGCGTTTACTAAACCACTTCGCGTGTCGGGGTGGTTATTATCGGGGTGGATTTTCAGCCCTCTATTTTTGGGGTTGTTGCAATCGTTTGGTCGCACTGGCAAGGACCCCCCATTTTGGCTCCCAGGGGTGGTCGAGCGCAGCGTCGCCTGGGAACACGCTCTCCCACGTCGAGATCGCCGATGATCTGTACGGGCTGTCGGCCAGCTAGGGCGCACATCGCAGAATGTGTTCCTTCGCCGTCCAGGAGACCCAGTGTGCGCCCGCTCGCCCTTGGGGCATGCTGATGATCCCTGGCCTGACGTTGGGCGCAGGTGACATCGGATATCCAGTTTTGCATATTGTCTTGACCCTCTTGCGTATCCCAACCAGCCCATGCAGACTCGCTGTCTAGGAATGCTCCCTCTTTCGGGGCTCACTTGGGAGCTCTTCGGACAGTCGCTGGGCGGTCGTGGAGGCCATCGATCAAAGAGGTTGGGCGCCGATTGGCCCCGCCCCCCCAGGAGCCCCAAACATACGAGCACATCAGCGATCTTGGTACTCACGCGGAGGCCATCTAGGATGCTCCGACCGCTCGCGAGACCTCCAGTCCAGACCCAGGGGAAGGGAGGAGGGGGAGGGGCAAACCCCTTACCGAAGGGGGAGACGGGGGGAGTACACCACGATTGGGTTCCAAGTGCGCCAGTTTTCGCCACGAGCGGAACCGAACTTCTCTGAAGTGTTGGGATCTACAGAAACACCCCGTGTGATTTTCAGTTTGGGATGTGCAAATGAGAAGCCCTTAGCGGGATGATCTGATCACATATCGGGTCTAGGGGAGGTTTTGCAGGCTTTCATGGCTTTTGTCCAGGTGCATTCTGGGAATGTTGCAGTGCACTTCTTTTGTCCGTTCCAACCTCCTGTGCAGAGCAGTTGTTCCCAACCATCCTCGGGTGTTGGGTTTTCGTTTTGAAGAGACATCGCCCCGCGATCCCACACCTTCCTCCTCTCCGTCGTCCTTCCTCCCATCGTCGTCGTCATCATCATCATCATCATCAGCAGCATCATCATCATCGCCGTCATCATCGTCATCATTTTCAGCATGACCGCTGTCACCATCTCCCTCCTCCTCCCCCTCCCATCACCATCACCATCATCATCATCATCATCACCATCAGGCGCTCGAGGCGCCTGATGGTGATGATCCCAGTCCCTCCCCACCCATCATCATCACCATCCAGCTCCTCGAGGCGCTCGACCTCAAGCGCGATGCAGAGGAGAAGGTCGCGCACATCGTCGCGGACCCTCGAGATCGGGACGGCGTCGAGACAGCGGGCGGAGACGGGAAGACGATGCTCTATCTGAAGCATTTGCCGCTGGGGTTCTGGGCGCGCATGGAGAAGCGCGCGGGCGCGCCCTTCGTGGACGACCTGAAGCGCCGCGACGACAGCCTCAGGAAGGACCTCGCGGGCCCGCTGGTGTTCATCGAGCGTCGCGCGTCGGGGTCGCCCACCTTCCGCGCGGCAAGGCCATCTCTACGGCTGCGTTCCAGGGGCGCACCGCGCGGGCAGGCGACGGGGCGAGGGGACGGCGCCCCCGGGCAGTCTACGGCCGAACCGTCTTGGCGCGAGCGGTCTGCGGCCAGACCTGCAGTCGGTCCTTTGGGTTCTCGTCCTGGGCCGTCGGCGGTCCGTCGCGCCGCCCCCCTTGCTGACGTCGCCCAAGCATGGTTCTGGATTGCGGCCGCCGCGAGGTCGGGAACGGCGAGGGCGACAACTGGCGGCTGGAGTTCTACGCGCTGCTCTCGCGCGCCACGCGCCACGAGGACCTCCCGCTCGCGCGGGCGCCACGCGTCGAGTCCTTCCCGGCAGGGCCGCTGGAGGGCTCGCGGAAGTAGCTGGGGCAGCTTGCTGCGCGCGCGAAGCGGCGCAGGAGGGAGGCGACAAACCTCGCCAGGCAGCTGGGCCTCATCGAGTTTATTCGCAAGGCCTGACCTGAGGGGCGGCCCGCGCGAGCTGCGCCCTCGCTCGACTGTCCAACTGGTTGGCCTCCCGCCGCGGGCGACCCGCGCGCGTCGTTGGGGCCCTCTCGGGGCGACCAGCTTGCGTCGCGGGAACTCCGCGCCGCGCCCCGCCCGGCGCTTCGATCGCACGTCGTCGCTCTGCCCAGCGCACAGACCCTTGCCCGTCATCAGCCAGCTAGCTAGCTCCCTTGGCCCCGCGCAGCGGACGACCCGCGGGCGTCGCTGGGGCCCCCTGGCGGCGACCGGCGCGCGTCGCGGGGACTCCTCGCTGCGCTGCGCCCGCAGCCTTGGACATTTGCGCGCGCGGGCAAAGAGGGAGAAAAAGAAAAGAGGGAAACGGGCGCGATCCTTGTCGGGGGGCGCGCCGGCGCGAGAGTCGCGACGCGCGGGCGCTGCCGTCGAGGTTGCCGGGGGAGCCCCCTGCG